ATTGTGATAAATTCGTGCTCAAGACTTAATCCTCAGGTACTTTTGTTTTACCAACAACGTCAGCAAATGACCGTCATCAATATGTCAATCATAATTGATTTTTAGAGCAATTTCCGTAGGACTATTTATACGAAGTGAATAGGTATTCCATTATCATAAAGTCCTCATTTTGTTGTCATTTTCTTGGGGAACACTTATGACTATGATTACAATATTACGAATATGATTGCGATGCGTGTAATCATCACTTCGCCTTTCTGCATGACAGAACAGAACTYCAAGAAAACGGCAAGCAATCRYCAGATTACCATTTCATGTARGCTTTTATGTCAATTAATTCTCAAACTGACAACCCTAATGTTTAAATTACGTCTGCTTGCGATTACGATCAAGTCACCGTACCTTTGATTGATAGTCTTGACTTTCCTGAAAATGTTCCATGGCAGACTCTGCGTGACTTGTCACGCGGTCGTACAACATGGCTGCCTCACGCCATTTCTTGGCCTGCAAATAGGACTTCGCGATGTAAAAACACCTGAAGAGATTCCAAAATTCGTGTCAATTGTGTTGGCCGGGTTGTATGTGGCTCGTTACCTTGTATTTCACAATGTATACTTTATTACTTGATCACAATACCTGTAGACTGTCATACCTGTATGCTTTGAAGTGCAGTATTTGTGCACTTATGTCTTTACTCATCTCGATATCATCATCAACGCCAGGTAATTCACCCATGTCTGACAGGGTCTAAAGATGAGGAATTCATTTAGCATAAAAGAATAGACTTAGCGAAACAGAAAAGGTAAAATGCATTGATGAAAATGAGAAAAATGAATGGATGAAGAGTAACAAGATCGATGATATATGGATGAATGGAACGATTAATAAATGATTGGATGGATGGATGAATAGTTAAATGAAAAAACTATGAATAACAAGTAATGCGACAGTAGACAAATATTCCACAGGAATAGTGATTTACCTGTAAGATAATGTCATAGATTCTGACAAGGTCTTCTGGTTTAGTCAGTTTCTTAGTTGGATCAGGCTCAACAGCCTCACTAGAATCTTGCAGACTTGCAGGAAGTTGTTTTTTCATAGCTTCAACCATCAGCAAGTTTCTATCAGTAGTTTTACTGAGTTTTACATAGGTAATGTAGGACTGAAGAGACTGCAGTTGGGCTACCTGTGTCTCACTCTTCTGAGACCTTGGTTTTCCTGAAGACTGAASCAAGATTTTTTTTCAGATAATCAAACAATGAAAGCAATGATATCTTTCATCATTTTATGTGAAATCTAAAATATCTTACTGTATCTCCCTTGAGTTCATCTTTCACAGCTTGCAAAGCATCCTTGCTTTCCATCAACAATTCCTCATACATACTCATCTTACTGTCCGCATCCTCTGCACTGTCCAGCTCTCTTGCAATCTGTTGTGCATGCAGAATAAATGCACGCACTTTCTCATTCTTGACAGGTATGGACCGACCTCTCCATGTCACTTCTGTCATGGACTCTGCTTCTTTCTCTCGAGTCTGTGCCAAAACTTCCTGCAGGATGAAATTCAAAAATGTTTCACATTTTGTATAACAAAAGCTGGTCTTATTCCTTAAGTCAGAATCCCTCAATAAGGTGATTTCTTTTCTAAAAAGATTTTAGTTTTCATTTATTTCACTTTCTGATCAAACACATTTCTTTCTTCTACTATAATGTGTATACTTACATCAATCTTGGCTGCAAGAACTGGGTCTTGGACACCACCAGTTGAGCTCATTCTCATCTGCATCAAATCATTGATGTCTGTGCCACCTTCACCAAGATTGTAAGCACAGTATCTGATATTAGGAGTGATTTCCTCAACTCTTTGAAGATACATATTCCTGTGCTCTTCTGAGAAAGCACCAGCAAGCTTTTCATAGATGGTCCTTGTAAAATACAAATAAAGATTACAAATCACATTACTTACCAATAGAAACAATGAACACAGATGAATTTTAATGCAAAATGTAGTAAAACACAGTGCCATCCTTGGTTCAACAGGAATATGAATTCAAAATATTAGCTTAATCTTGGGTTCACTGGGTATAGTTTTCAAAGTATTACATATATCACAGACAACAATTATTATCAGTCATAATGCAGGTAATGTTTCTGTTAGATTTTCRATTTACCTTGCTCTCCCAAACAACTCTAAAGCTTCCTTCCACTTCTGAAGCTCAAAACTTACACTCCCCTTCATGTACGATGCATAAGCCTATGAATAAAGAACCATTACAGGCTGAATATTACAGTCCAAACCGTTAATAACTAGAAGGGATAAATAAGGGATATTGGATGTACAAACTGTGGAAACCTTGAAGCTCTTATACACCTTACATCTCAAATAAAAAGCACACCTAGCAAATCTGTRAAGGACAWTTGTGATAACATACCTGAGCTTCTAGTTTTGTTCTTGCATCACAAAGACTTCCTTGACAGAGCTTTTCTAAGCTGTCAGCATGRCCGGCAGCATTACGTAATCTTCTGATCAAATGAAATCTTTTCCTTGGTTCTGTGTTAGCAAGAAGCTTTAATTCCATAGCATGGCTCCATGCTCTTTCAGCATCTATCAGAGGTATGTGTAAAAACCTAGAAAAAGATTCTTGACATTAGATTCACTGATTTTTAGATAGGTACTTTTGTTATTGAAGGATAGACCCTTGGTTATGATGATATCATAACAGAAATTCCCAACACAACCACAATCATAATCATCAATATCATTACTTTTGTCATCATCATCACCATTTCATGTTCAGCTATTGTCCTTACTCAATTCATCACTTTCATGAGCTCATCGTCATTATTGTGAAATATTTCAGATGTAAAGAACACTTACTTGACGTCTTTTACAACATTTTCAGTCACTTTCTTTGGTTTGATGTTGTTCCTTGAACCTTGTTGAAAATGAAGCGTCTTATAAAGACGTCTTAACCTCCTTGTACAATATTGCCTTTAAATAGAAGTGAAATATTAAAAAATGCTGTTGGATAATAAATTTAGAGAGTTAATTGATACCTGTATCTCTGATAATCACCATGACGTAAACCGTGTGTACTCTGATTTTCTTTTATAAGAGGCAAGACTTAATATTATTAAGGGTTAATAATTTCATAATAAAATACTAAATAACTTAATTATCATTCATATTCTCATAAGTCTAATAATTACCGCAAATGACGATAAATACTAAAAAATATTATTGTTACTGCTATTATATCAACGTAAATACATTAACTAGCTTTTACTTCATGATTAAATAAACTAAGATTCCTTAGTTTAAGGACACACCACACTATATGAATTAGTTAATGGTTCGAGCAGAAGAGAAACCGTATGAAAACACAGAACTGACGTGTACTTTACGCTCTTATTCAAAATGACGACAGTTTTGTAATACCACTCCTAGTGAATGAATTAACCCCAAAGATTGTAGTCCAAAACAATTCATATATAGACAAGGATAACGTAAAACTAAAGCCAGAAACTGTGAGCTTAGGCTAAATGTAGTAAAATATTGGTAAGCTTAACTTAAGAGCCGACCCTCGTGGACAAAAAATATCAAAGACTCATGTTTTAGTGACCAAAAAAATGCAGTGTGAAGTAATTTCCATACTCATTCAAGGATACTTTCCAGAGTAAATGGATCTACACGGTTCTCTTCTTCTGTTTGATTAGTAGACGGGTTTTCAACCTCCATTTTTACTTCTTTATCATTTCCGAGCGCCATCTTGATTTTCGAA